GAGCTTGGCAACATGCAGGGGCTGGTGGAGGACTTCAAGAACAAGTGAGCACCTCCCACCCTCCACCTAACTGGAGAGAGAAGTCACCCTGCTCTCCTCCACTCCTTGGGACCAGAGGCCTAAGTCCCTATGGCCCTCTGTTGTGGGCAGTGCAGTCCTATCTAGTTAGGGTGACCACATGATGAGGTTTGGTCGGGACAGTCTGTTTATGCCCAGGCTCCTAGCATAATTGTTGATAGTCCACCCCCCTTCAATCTAAACTGTCTGGATTTGGAGAACAAATTATGTGTCAGTGTTTATGTTGTAAACCGAAGATGGGAGCTGTAGGTAGCCAACAGGCTTCACTTTTGTACTTAACATTCTGGCCCCTCTTTAGTCTTGACCCTTGACCTCTAGCAAACTCCAGAAAGTTCTGTTTGAGGTCTCATGTCAGGCCCTGCCATTAACGCTCGAGGTGCCCAATCTGATGTGTATTCATGGATTTGGAGAGAGATTTCCTGCTCCCAGCCCTCCCACTGGCTGAGGGTGGGGCAGGGGTGGGAGAGGGCAGCTGGGGAAGGCAGAAGGACCAGGCTTCTCATATCCCGCATCTTTGGGAACTGAATTTTCCTGCTCTTCACAATGTCCCTGTCTCCCAAAAGACCAAGGGCAACCTCCCTTTTGCCTTCATCTTCTGATTCTAAGTCTTTTCCTCATAGGTATGAGGAAGAGATCAATAAGCGTACAGAGATGGAGAATGAATTTGTCCTCATCAAGAAGGTGAGTGAGTCTCCCTACCCTCATCTGGACACTGGAGGCTGGGGCTTAGAGACTCAGACTAAGAGGCTTTCAGAGTTCTGTCCCTAAATATTCCTAAGTAGTGGGACAAAGTCATTTATTTCAACATTTGGGTACATAGAAAGGTAGACAAGAATAGAGTGGTAGTTAGGTGCATTTGGACAGAACTCTTGACATCGATGTTGGGACATGGTTTATAAAACAGCAGTAGAACTGAAGATCTGGCCCTAGAAGTCTCCCTAGAGGAGGAGGTGGAAGAGGGCATGTTGCAGGGAGCAGAGGTGAAGCTGTATGGGCTGGGAATGCACTTGTAACGGGCAGAGGCTGGGCTGGAAGATCAGGCCACAAAGTGGGCAATTAGGAGGTCCTGTGACCAGGCCATCGGGTGGACATTGGGAGCCCCTTGGTTGGGGTTGGGTGTGGACACCCAGCTCAGGCCCCTCCCTCTTTATCCCCCAGGATGTGGATGAAGCTTACATGAACAAGGTAGAGCTGGAGTCTCGCCTGGAAGGACTGACTGATGAGATCAACTTCCTCAGGCAGCTGTATGAAGAGGAGATCCGGGAGCTGCAGTCCCAGATCTCCGACACCTCTGTGGTGCTGTCCATGGACAACAGCCGCTCCTTGGACATGGACAGCATCATCGCTGAGGTCAAGGCGCAGTACGAGGAGATTGCCAACCGCAGCCGGGCTGAGGCGGAGAGCGTATACCAGATCAAGTATGAGGAGCTGCAGAAGCTGGCTGGGAAGCACGGGGATGACCTGCGGCGTACAAAAACTGAGATCTCCGAGATGAACCGGAACATCAGCCGGCTCCAGGCTGAGATTGAGGGCCTCAAAGGCCAGGTATGGGCTGGGCTGGGCTAGGGGTGGCAGGGGATCCTCGGGCACATCCTGGTGAGAGGAGATAGTACAGGAACAGTGAGGGCTCTGGGAGTCCGGGAAGGAATCCTAGACCAGGGTTTAGGACTTAGAGGAGCAGCCACAGTTCAGCTTCTCAGTCTGCTTCTGGGAAACAGGAATGCAGGGAATGTCTCTTGGGGCCAGGAGAGAAGTGAAAACGGGGATGAGGGAGGTATGTGGGGGCTTGGGATGCATGCTCCCAAGGCTGCTATGTAATCAGTCACATATATCAGAGTAAGGTTGAGCTCTGCTGCTTTAAGGAAACTCTAGAACCCAGGGATCTAGTCCAGTTAGGGTGGGGGGAGCTTACAGTGTCACAGGTGACCTGCTTACCTGTCCCCTACCCTCACAGAGGGCTTCCCTGGAGGCCGCCATTATAGATGCTGAGCATCGCGGGGAGCAGGCACTCAAGGATGCTCGTGCCAAGCAGCAGCAGCTGGAGGAAGCCCTGCAGAAGGCCAAGCAGGACATGGCACGGCAGCTGCGTGACTACCAGGAGCTGATGAATGTCAAACTGGCCCTGGACATCGAGATCGCCACCTACCGCAAGCTACTGGAGGGCGAGGAGAGCCGGTGGGCATGGGAACCTCTGACGGGACCCTCTTCCCCATCCCTGGGACCTGTGGTGGGGAGGGTGGGAGCCTTCTGTAGCCCCTTGGGACTTGGGTCCTGTTCTGGGCCAAGAAGGGCTAGGGGTTGGTCCTGACACCCCATGTGTCTGGGTACAGGCTGGAGTCTGGGATGCAGAACATGAGTATCCACACGAAGACCACCAGTGGCTATGCAGGTGGGTGTTCAGGGCCCTGGGATGCCTCAGCTCCGGGCAGGAGGCTGTGCTCAGTCGCTCACAGTGACCTCAGCCTGAGCATTCCTGTTCTTGAGAGAATCCCAGGGTGGTGGGGGATATACTTGGGACCCGAGTAATAGAGTTACTATTAGAAAGCACCCAAATAAACTACAGCTGTGTGCCAGGCACTGTGCTAAGTATACTACATGCTTTATGTAAGTTACTTTTTACATGACTCCTATAAATGTCCTCAGCTGAGGAAGCTGAGGCCCAGTTAAATGACGTGTCTAGTGTCACACAGCTATGTATATGACAGCTCTTTCCCACCCTGCTCCTGGTTTTCCCTGACAGTTCTGGAGTAGTGGACCATGCAATCACTGGTCAGGCAGAGCTGGGCTAACCTCCCATCCCTGGGGCTGTGTTGGGAGTGAGCAGGGGGAAGGGGCATGGAGCCTGCTCGGGGTGGCCTCCTGTACTGATGTGGCTACCTCTGCCCCTCACCAGGTGGTCTGAGCTCTGCCTATGGGGGCCTCACAAGCCCCGGCCTCAGCTATGGCCTGGGCTCCAGCTTTGGCTCTGGCGCGGGCTCCACCTTCAGCCGCACCAGCTCCACCAAGGCCGTGGTTGTGAAGAAGATTGAGACCCGCGATGGGAGGCTGGTGTCTGAGTCCTCTGACGTCCTGCCCAAGTGAACAGCTGCAACAGCCCCTCCCAGCCTGCCCCTCCTGAGGCTGCCCCAGAGCCTGGGAGGGAGGTTGCTGTACAGGGGAGCACAGGGAATGGGAGACCCATCCGACGCTCAGCCCTAGCCCTCAGCCCACCCGCGGGGAGTTTACTGCCTGGGGACCCCCCCTTGCCCATGCCTCCAGCTGCAAAACAATTCAATTGGCTTTTTTTTTTTTTTGGTCCAAAATAAAATCTCAGCTAGCTCAGACAACTGTCCTTGCTGTGTGTGCATCCAGTGTCCACCGGGGTGGGAGGGAGGTGGTCAGGAGGCCTCTCCCTGGGAGTCAGAAGCTGGGAGGGGTCCAGGAAGCAGGGGTGCACAGTGGGAAAGTCTGACCTCAGCTGTTCCCAAAGAGGCTCCTTTGTCGAAACCTGGTTGACACCTTGGTTGTCGCCATAGGTCTGTACCCCTGTATAATAGTCACGGACCTGCACAGTGCTTTCTGGTTTACAACGTGCTTTCAAATACCAAGGTTCATTTGATCTATGCATTAAGGCTCAAGAGGCCGGCAGAGCAAGTTTTTGAGGGTATTATCAGCAGAGAGCTCAGTGTGCTTCCCCTACACCTTGGCATCAGGACTATTTGCATATTAGGAAAGCCAGGTTCGGCGAAGCCAAGTAATTGGCTCACCTAGAAAGTGGCAGATCTGGCACTGGAACCCAGAGCTTTCCAGCTCCCAGGCTTGTATTCCTCCTTGGCCAGGCACATGGCTTTTCCTTATGGCCAGACATGTCTTTTTATCACCTTCAATCTTTGCAGTCAGGGACTGAGGCGCCCTGGCTTTTCCACCCCCTCAGAGGTCCAGAGTCTATTCTCAGCAATTGGGTGTGTCATGCCCACAATTTCTAGAAGCCAAGATTGTATGGGACTTGGCTTTGTTATGTGGGCTCTTCCCCGCCCCACTCAGTCACAGCCACCACCCCCTTCCTATCCTTTTTACATGCCATGTGTATGATAGAAAGGGTGTGTGTGCATTCTGTGTTTGCACACGGAGGGTGTACTGTGTGTGCATGGGTGTGCACAGTGTGTGAAGGGGCTTGCCCGACTGTTGAGACAACCTCCACGGTTCAGGGCGGGAAGTGTTAGGACACAAGTGGGTGCAGCAGTGCATCACCACAGTCTGGCTCCACTGCCACCAGCACAGAGTTCTAGGCAGCCACCTTGTCCATTTGGCATTGGGCTGAGTGCACAAGCCCTTAGTGGGACTGAGATGGGGCATTTCCAGACTTTCTGAAACACTGACGGAGATTAGACGGAGACAGGCAGAGGGTACCGTGGGTAGGGACAGGCTGGTGCAGGAAGCTCCTGTTGGGTTCTGCTGTGGGCTCTCTCTCCAGGGCTGCTGTCCCTGGGCCCTCAGCTTCTCAGCCCCTGGGCTCCCCTCTGAGGGCCCCATCTCTGCATTCCCTTGCTACCCACCTCAATGGAGCTGGAACCCATACGGAGTCCAGGAACCCCCTACCGACAACCCCTCCCACCCAGTCCCGGGGCCAGGCTGAGGAATCTGCACACTGTCATCTTAGAGGACCTCACTTTTTGGTAGTAACAGCAGCAGTGCCCTTACCCAGAGTACTGTCTCTATTTTGGCAGTGGCCCACAGTAAGAAATTCATTTTATCATGATTTGCAAACACACACACACACACAACTGAAACAAAAATTTCATGAAATGATACCAACCTTCTGCCTTCTGCTCACATTAACCCGGCCCTCAGCAGGGACTAGGAATCAGGTGGCTGTTAGGGCAGTCACAGCCCCGGTGAGAAGGATCTCTTACCATGGTGCCCTAAGTAAATATTTTCAATTGTGCCCCACCCAATCCTCCCTGAAGTCAGTCACCTGTGTTATCAGGCCCTGTTCCTAGAAGCGGGCATGCCGGGGGCAGCCAGGGGCCCCACCAGATAGTCTCCACGCCCTGGATGTTTGCTCAGGGAAAGGCAGGATGGCTCCGGGGGGAGAATTCTCTTTTCCTCCCTCCCTGCTTGCTTCTTCCAAGTTCTGGTGCATCTACCATGGGATCAAGGTCACCCAGCATTAAGGTGACATACCTCCCATTTATCTTTCAGAAACTGCACAGACAGAAGAGCTGGAAATCCAACTGTCACTTAGATGAGGAAACTCAGGAAGGATGGGAGCTGACATTCCTTTTTTTTTTTTTTTGAGATGGAGTTTCGCTCTTGTTGCCCAGGCTTGAGTGCAATGGCTCGATCTCGGCTCACTGCAACCTCCGCCTCCCCAGTTCAAGCGATTCTCCTGCCTCAGCCTCCCGTGTAGCTGGGATTACAGGCATGTGTCACCACACCTGGCTAATTTTTGTGTTTTTTAGTTGAGACAGGGTTTCTCCATGTTGGTCAGTCTGGTCTTGAACTCCTGACCTCAGGTGATCTGCCTGCCTTGGCCTCCCAAAGTGCTGGGATTACAGGCGTGAGCCACTGTGCCCAGCCTATTTCTTAAATATCCACTCCACCTGCTTGTGCTTCATCTCATTTCAGTTCTCCAATGATCCTGTAAGGCAGGGCTTGAAACCCCATTCATGGAAGTAGAACTGGTCTAAGCTTATGTAAGTGATGTCCTGACTCTTGACAATATTAAATGTATTTATTCATTTATTTTTGAGACAGTGTCTCGCTCTGTCTCCCAGCCTGGAGTGTAGTGGCACGATCTCAGCTCACTGCAACCTCTGCCTCCCAGGTTCAAGCTATTCCCCTGCCTCAGCCTCCTGAGTAGCTGGGACTACAGGTACTTGCCACCATGCCCAGCTGATTTTGTGTTTTAGTAGAGACAGGGTTTCACCATGTTGGCCAGGATGGTCTGGACCTCCTGACCTTGTGTGATCCACCTGCCTCGGCTTCCCAAAATGTTGGGATTACAGGCTTTAGCCACTGCACCCAGTGCTTTTTTTTTTTTTTTTTTTTTGAGACAGAATCTCACTCTGTCACTCAGGATGGAGTGCAGTGACACAATCTCTGGTCACTGCAATCTTTGCCTCCTGGGTTGAAAGGATTAAAGGTGCGTGCCATCACACCTAGCTAATTTTTTGTGTGTTTTTAGTAGACATGGAGTTTCACTATGTGGGCCAGCCTGGTCTCAAACTCCTGACCTCATGATCCACCCACCTCGGTCTCCCAAAGGGCTGGGATTACAGGTGTGAACTACCATGCCTGGCATTTTAATTTTTGTTATGTATTTATTTTTTTGAGACAGAATTTTGCTCCGTTGTCCAGGCTGGAGTGCAGTGGTGCGATCTCAGCTCACTGCAACCTCCACCTCCTGGATTCAAGTGATTCTCCTGCCTCAGCCTCCCGAGTAGCTGGGATTACAGGTGTGTACCACCATGCCTGGCTAATTTTTGTATTTTTAGTAGAGACAGGGTTTTGCCATGTTGGCCAGGCTGGTCTCAAACCCCTGGTGTCAAGTGATCTATCTGCCTCAGCCTTTCTAAGTGCTGGGATTACAGGCATGGGCCACTGTGCTGAGCCAACATTTTGTTTTCGAGGAAGTAACACATACATTTTATACGTAATTCAAAAGTACAAGAGGACCCTTCGCCAGTCACCCAGTTTCTCTTCCAGAGGGCAACTAATGCTACCAGTTTCTTGTGATTCATTCCAGATAGAGTTTATTATATACAGTCGTGAATGACATACACGCATACATTTCTATCCTTCATGAAGGGTATTGTACTATATGTGTTGCCACATGTCTTAACATTCACTCTATACCTGTTCCTTCCATATCAGTATGTGAGGTTGCTTCCCCCTCTTTTTTACAGCTCCATCATATTCCACTTCAGGATGTGCCACAATTTACGTCACCAGTCCTCTATTGGTGAGTCTTTTGCTGTGACAATGGTGAGGATATCTGAATAATTCCTGCAAGTGGAATTGCTGAAGCAAAATGTATGCACATTTACATTTTAATAGACATTTTAAAAAAGCTTAATTTCTTATGGGACTGAATTTTAGTGTTTTGGAAAATTTACATATATAGGAGAAGATTCTTGTCTGACTAGTCCAGACGAACCAGGTATTAGCACCCAGTTCCCTCCACCCTGCCTTTCTAACCTAACACCCCAGGAATAAAATGATGTGTCTTCCAAGCATTTGCGAACTCTTCTGCAGATATTATCATTCCAAGGTTTTGCTCTGCCTGCCTGGTGAGCTGGGCTAAGGTGGTCTAGGAGCTCCCGTGTAGTAGGGGGATCTGAAAGTGGGCTAAGGACTGAGGGCCAGGCAGACTCTAGTGTGAGGTGGTGGGAATGGAGGCGTGAATGTCAAAGCACGGCATATGGCAATGCATCATATAGCACAAACCCTTCGTGAAGGATAGCCTGAAATGTGTGCATGGGTGTCCCTAGGTAATTATATCTCATAGAATCTACCTGGTGGGAATGGAGGAGGAAGCACCACTGCAAGGAAGGGGAGGCAGGGAAGGAGACCAGCATGGTGGGCAGCCCCCTAGTTCAGTCTGGGTGCTGCCCTTTTACACGTCGTGGTGGGCACACTTTGTCTAGCCAGCACCCCTTGCCCCTTCTTCTAGTAACACAGCACTCCCCCACATCCACTCCTGCCACGCCCCAGTTCTTTTCAGGAACTGCTCCTCCCTAGCTCACAGGACATCTGCCTGGGCCCACTGGGTCCACAATGGGCCAGCCTTGGTCAATCACAGGGACCTTTGTTTTTTCCTTGCGGAGGCATAGTGTATGTACATACAATAAAATGCAAAACGTGCCTTAATGGGGTATGTGCAGCCTCGTGAGTTTTAATGTAGAATGTTTCCTGTATCACAGAAGGTTCACTTGGGCGCCTTGCCAGAGTACACTTTTTTTTAGCAGACTGATTTTTTACGAGCAGTTTTAGGTTCATAGCAAAATTGAGCAGGAGGTAGAGGGTTCTCATATACTTTCTTCCCCCATACCTTCATCCCACACCAGAGGGCTACACTGTTACAACATTACCAGCATCATCAACATCCACTTCAGATGGCTACATTTGTTATAACATCAACACCCCACAGAGGGCTACATTGTTACAATATCAACACCCACCTCAGGGGGTTACATTTGTTACAATTGATGAACCTACATTGTACATTATTATCACCCACAGTCCATAGTTACATTAGGGCTAACTCTTGGTGTTGGACATTCTACAGGGAGCATGTATCCACCATTACAGCACCATACAGAACAGTTCACTGTCCCCC